CCATGGCCTTGCTGACCAAGCCCTCGCCGACCAGTGCCTCCACCGCCTTGGCGTCTTTCTGGGGGGGGGTCGGCGCGCCGAGGTCGCCGCGGCGCGGTCCCGGCCGCTGCGTGCGCCTCCCTCCAGAGTGCGCCCCAGTCGCCTGCTTCCGCGAGGCGCAAGCGTCGCGTGAAGATGGCTGCGCGCCCCCCGCTGTTCCTCTCTGCCTTGCGCCCTCCTCTGGCCCTGCCTGGTTTGAAAAGAGGACTCGGTCGAAGAAGGTGAAGAGCTTCTCTGCAGGAGGCCTGCAGGAGGCGTTCCGCCACCTGGCCGCGGACCTGCGCGAGGGCAGCCCCCACCGTGTCCGGGGCGTGAAGCTCGGTCGCCACGTGGTGTCGGAGGTCATCGTAGTCGACGGTGCCCCACCAAGCCAAATTCTCGGGGAGCTCTTCCTCGTCCGCGGCATCTTCTGGCAAGTTGGCGGGGCCCCCGTCGTCGGCGTCGAGCAGAGGGGCGCCAAGGGCGGCTGCTTGCCAGTGCTGTTCGGGGTCTGCTCTTGCGCGCTTGGCGCGGCGTGTCCTCGACGCATTCCGCTCTCGTGGTCTTGCCTGGCTGTTCACAACACTCGCAGATGGCGCCCGCCTGCTCCGCCGCGAGGAGGCCGGTGCCCCCGATGGTCGAAGGGCCCAAGCCCGCCCTCGACGCAGCGCGGGTGACAGTGCAACTTGTTCGCCCGGTCGGGGTTGAACACGCGCAGCTCGCCCTTCTCGATGCGATCCCCGCAGCCGGCGGCCCAGCAGAGGCAAGCCCGCCTCGAGCGCAGGGCGTCCACGGCCCATTTGGTGACCAGGACGTCCCGCCCAGATGGCGGTCTGGATTGCGGGCGCGGGTTCGGCGGCGGCGGCGGCCCCCCGTCGGGCTCGTCGCCCGGAAAGGCTGGCCATTGGCACGCGGCCAGGAGGAGCAGGCCGACGAGTGGGTCATCCAGGGCTCCGCTTCCCGCCGCGACCACGCCTGCGCCGCGCAGTCGGCATATCCAGGGGCGAACGCGCACGTCTCCGGCCATGGGCCCCAGGGCGGGGAGGCCGACGATCGAGCGCCGCCCTCCGAGCAGCGTCGCCCGCGAGGCCCTCCACGGCACCGGGCTTCCGGAGACCATCACGCTGATATGCATTGCGGGAGCCTGGCTGCCGAGGGCGCCGTGCGCCATGCAGCCCGCGCAGGCTGGGGGCCACGCGCCTGGGCCCATGGCCAGAAGGAGGCCTCGGAGCGACAGCTCGCAAGACACCCGAGTGCACAGGAACGCGGCGCCCAGGAGGGCCCCAGTGAACGGCCCCGTCGGTGGGGGGAGCCAGTCTTGCTTGGTCGGGGCAGGCGGGCTGCTGCTGGAGCGCCCCCCCTGTGCCCCTGACGCCACGGCCGCGCGCGACCGCACATGCCGCAGGTCGAATAGCTCGGCACTGCCATAGCGGTGGCCCTGCGGAGGTGTCTCCAGGGTGCGCGTGGCCCAAAGTCTGCAGATGCTGGTGTTAGTCGTGCTCGTCACACTCGCGGTGCTGCTCTGAGTCGCACTGCTCGCCGACGCGCTGGGCGTGGCGGTGCTGCTGGTATCGGTCGTGCTCGTCACACTCGTGGCGCTGCTTTCGGTCGTGCTGCTCGCCGACGTGCTGGGCAGAATGGTGCTGCTGGTCTCGGTCGTGCTCGGCACCCTCGCGGTGCTGCTCTCAGTCGCACTGCTCGCCGACGCGCTGGGCGTGGTGGTGCTGCTGGTATCGGTCGCGCTCGCCACACTCGTGGCGCTGCTCCCGGTCGTACTGCTCGCCGGCGTGCTGGGCGCAGTGGTGCTGCTGGTCTCGGTCGTGCTCGGCGCCCTCGTGGTGCTGCTCTCAGTCGCATTGCTCGCCGACGCGCTGGGCGTGGTGGTGCTGCTGGCACGGGTCATGCTCGTCGCACTCGTGGCGCTGCTCCCGGTCGCACTGTTCGCCGACGTGCTGGGCGTAGTGGTGATGCTGGTGTTAGTCGTGCTCGTCACACTCGCGGTGCTACCCTGAGTCGCACTGCTCGCCGACGCGCTGGGCGTGGCGGTGCTGCTGGTATCGGTCGTGCTCGTCACACTCGTGGTGCTGCTCTTGGTCGTACTGCTCGCCGACGTGCTGGGCGCAGTGGTGCTGCTGGTCTCGGTCGTGATCGGCACACTCGTGGTGCTGCACTCAGTCGCACTGCTCGCCGACGCGCTGGGCGTGGTGGTGCTGCTGGCACGGGTCGCGCTCGTCACACTCGTGGTGCTGCTCCCGGTCGTACTGTTCGCCGACGTGCTGGGCGTGGTGGTGTTGCTGGTCTCGGTCGTGCTCGTCACCCTTGTGGCGCTGCTCCCAGTCGTGCTGCTCGCCGACGTGCTGGGCGTAGTGGTGCTGCTGGTCTCGGGGCTTGATCGTCATACTCGTGGTGCTGCTCTCAGTCGCACTGTTCGCTAACGTGCTGGGCGCAGTGGTGCTGCTAGTGCCAGTCGCGCTCGTCACCCTCGTGGTGCTGCTCTCGGTCGTACTGCTGACCGACCCGCTGGGCGTAGTGGCGCTGCTGATCTCGGTCGTGCTCGTCACCCTCGTGGTGCTGCTTTCGGTCGTACTGCTCGCCGACGTGCTGGACGTGGTGGTGGTGCTGGTCTCGGTCGTGCTCGTCACGCTCGTGGCACTGCTCTCGGCCGTGCCGCTCGCCGACGTGCTGGGCGTATTGGCGCTGCTGTTGCAGGTCGTGCTCGCCATCCTCGCGGTGCTGCTCTCGGTCGCACTGCTCGCAACCGTGCCAGGCGTGGTGGCGCTGCCGGTCTCGGTCGTGTTCGGCACACTCGTGGTGCTGCTCTCAGTCGCACTGCTCGCCGACGCGCTGGGCGTGGCGGTGCTGCTGGTACCAGTTGTGCTCGTCCCGAACGTGATGATGCTGGCGGTAGTTCTGCTCGCCGACGTGATGGGCGTGAGCGCGTTGCTCGCCTCCCCGCCCCGCTCGGCCGATAGGACTAGGAAAACCCGCGGTGCAATGGTGAGAGCATGAATTTGGACCCATTTTTGAGAATATCGTTCTTGGACATTACGAATGAGAATTTGCGCATAACGTGCTGAGGAGGAGAAAAAGAAACGCAGAAAGGAAAAACGGAGCAGATCCGCAGTAGCAGGTAGCAGGCAGAGCGGAGAAGCAGGAAGGACACCGACAAACCGAGGAGGATGGGAAAAGAGAAAGCGCATCCGGCCAGCCGGCCGGCCAGCCCGTCCGCCGGCCGTCCGCGCCGCGAGGGGCAAACGGAGGAGGGGGAGGGGGAGAAGGAGGAGGAGGAGGAGCATGAGAAGGCGGTGAAGGAGGTGGAGGAGGAGGACGAGGAAAAGAGGACAAACTGGACCTGGCCAGACGAGGGAGGAGGGAGGAGGAGAGGAAGGAGGAGAAGAGGAAACCACAACATCATCAAGAACAGGTTTCCCCAGAAACCGTGCCAACGTGCCAATTGTGTCTCTATCAAGACACGATCTGTCCTTCCGTCTTGCCATCTGCCAGAATCCAGAATACATGATACGTGCGCGCCGTCAGCCGCAAGCCGCCAGCCACCCTCTCCCTCATTTTTCTGATCCTAAGTTTGCTTCACTCTCATCTCCTCCCTCCTCCTCCACATCTCCCTCCGTCTCTTCCTCCTCTCTCCTCTCCTTTTGTCTATCTGCTCCTCTTCCTCGTGTATCCTCTATCCTGTCTGAGGTTCCCTCCCTCGGCTTCGTTCTCCTCTCCTACCTCCTTCTCCTTCCCCTTCCGTCGCCACTCGCCAAGCACGCGCGTCTGGCGCGTGGTGCGCGACCGCCCCGCGGAGGCGGTTCAACACCTTAGTCGGGGGTCGGGGGGGCCCAAGGAGCGAGGGGGGGATCGGATCAGAGGATCTTAGGACCTCGGACCACGCATCGGACATCGTACGTAGGCACATCGTACTCTATTGGACTCAGAAATTGGACAGGAGATCGCAGATCGCAGATCTGAATCCGAGAACTGAGATCTGAGATCGGAGATCGAAGATCTGAGATCCGCGGCCGCGGCGGAGATCAGAGATCAGAGATCAGAGATCAGAGATCAGAGTCAGATCAGAGGTCAAAAGATCGGAGGAAGGCGAAGAGCGAGGAGTGAACGGAGGCGAGGTGGGAGGTGGGAGTGGGAGGTGGGAGGAGTCGGAGGTCGGAGGAGGATCCGAGAGGAGGAGGAGGAGGAGGAGAACGAGGAGGATGGAGGGATGAGGAGGACGGAAGAAGAGGAAGAGGCAGAGGGAGGAGGAGGGAGGAGGGGGAGGAGGACGAGGAGGATTGACTCAGCCAGCAACCGAGGCTCTGGCTGAACCTCACTGGCCGCCTGCGTCGGCGACCGCCTCGGCCCTCGGCCGCCTCGGCCCTCGGCCCCTCCTCACTCCTCAGCCCCTCAGCTGCAGCCTGCGGCGCTGCTACTGCTGCCCTTCGCAAAGGGCAGCTTCCCCTGCGCCGCAGCTCCTCCCTTCGCAGCTGCAACTGCTTTCTTCTTCCCCTTCGCAACCGCCTTTGCCGCCGCCGCCGCGCCCGGGACCTCCTGCGCCGCTGGAGGTGCTCCTGCTGACTTTGCCGCTGCGGGCGCGTCGTCCGCCGCCTTGAGCTTCTTGGTCGGCTGCTCCTGCCGCTGCTGCGGCTCCTGCTGCTGCGCCTCCGCCTCATCAGCGAGCTTCGCTTTCTTAACTGGAGGACCCTCCCCCTCCTGCCCGATGCCGCCGCCGACCGCCGCAACAGCTGGCTCAACAACTGTCTCAGGCTGAGGCCCCTTCTCCTTCTCCTTCTCCTTGTCCTTCTCCTTGTTCGAGTCCAGCGCCTGCTGCTCAGCCGCCGCGGCCGTCGTCGCCTCACTCATGGAGGCGTCGGGCCCGTCGAGCTGCTCCTCGTCCGGAATCTGCCCGTCGATCGGGGTAGCAGTTCCATCGCAGTGAAAGTGAACCTCGGCCTCGTCGGGGACGTCGTCGTTGACTCCTGGGCCACCCGGCGTCACGGCAGCCTCCTCCGCGTCAGCGGCCTTCTTCATGTCTCCGCGTTCTTCGTCGGCGCCATCGGCAGGCGCTCGAGCTGCTGCATCCTCAGCCGCCTCAGCCTCAGCCTGGGCCGCCTCGGCTTGGGCCTCAGCCTCAGCCTTCTCCTTCTTCTCAGCCTCAGCTTTTACCGCCACCAGCAAGGACGAGGCCGGGGCACCATCGGAGGCCGCCGCCTCGGGCTCGCCCTCTGGCTGCCTGACCTTCTGGTTATCTGCCTCCAGCATCGCCACGAATGTCTTGGCAGTAGTCTCGTCGCAGGCCTTGAGGCTGGACCTGCACTTCGCCAAAACAGACAAGTCCTTCTTGACAGCAGCCGTGCTGCGCGTCGCTGCAGAAGTCTGGGGGCCCGATCCCAGTTCAGCAAGATCCTTCACCAAGACATCCATGACGGCTTCGATCATGAAGCTCGAGAGTTGCTGGGTATTGTCATCGAGCATTGGCGCGACGCTCTGGCGGACGCCGTAGACGCGCTGCGCCGCGGCCCCCGCTGCCGCAGGACTGCCCTGAGAGCACACGAACCAAGCAGGAGGAATGTATACGATAGCATTCGATCCAACTCGGCCGTTGCACATGGCCACCCCGTTCAAGTCGCCAGCCTTCAAGTTGACAAAAAAAACTGAGACAACGCGTTGGACGTCACAGGCTGGTTGGTAATGTTGTAGACAACAGGAGTGAGCCTCGCCACTGGCGTCGTGATCACGCGCAGAGGATCGCCGAAATTGATCCTCAGGCTGCCGAGGCCGCGGGGTTCCTTCGAAATCGAGGTGCCGCTAGGCGATGCCCCCCACAACCACATAGTCTCCGTAATCTTGTCAAGGCCACCTTCGTCACCTAGACTCACGGCGTTACTCGGCGCCCAGATCTGCGACAACGCCTCGGCAGCCCGCTTGGCGCACGAGATGTCCGGCACCGGGCTCTGGATCTTCTGATTCACGTCCTGCGGGCAGGCGGGCAGGGGGGGCGCAAGGAGAGGGGCAGGTAAGAAGGTCGGAGGAATCCCGGAGAAGGGGGGGGGGGGAGGGAGGATGGGGGAGGAGTAGCGATGAGGGGCGAGGCAATGAGGCGCGCAGACGGGTAGAGGGGCATGACCAGAGGCAGGAGTCTGTCAGTCGCTCGTTCCCCTCTGAACTCCGAACTCTGAACACTCGAATCTTCCGGGGCCTTCCTGGGGCCCCAGGCCCAGGGTTGCAGGGGAGTCCCAGGGTGCTCAAGGAAGTTCAGGGTTCCAGAAGCAAGGCCCCCAGGTCCTCGGGGCCCAGGGCACAGGGCCAATGGGAACTGGGCTCTCTGAGGGGTCTGGGTCCCAGGCTACACGCAGACAAGCAGCAAGCATGCAAGCATCTGACGCCCAGAAAAATCATCGACCATCTCCGCATCGCCGCATCGCTTCTTCTTATTATTATTATTATTCCTTCTCCTTCTTCTTCAACCTTCCTCCTGCAATCCTCTCCTCCACTTCCTCTTTTCCCCCCCCCTCCCCCCTCCTTCCTCCTTCTCGCCTCGCGGGGGCCTCGGTTAAGACTACGAGCAAGCAAAGCAAGATACACACGACGCACGACATGGGCCCCGCCGCCTATCCCCTATCCTTCGCCTTCGACAACACGGCCTGGACTTGCGCGCAGAAGCGCGACAACAAGGAGCTGAAAGCGTCCGAGCCCTCCCCGCTGCGCAGCATGGTCGCGCACTCGGACGCGTGGATGATGAAGGGCATCGTGAAATCGACGCCATTCTCACTGAGCTTCGCCTTGAAGTCCGCGTCGGTCGAGAACTCCAGGATCTTGGGGTGCATGGAGAGGTCCAAGTTGAAGACGGACACAGTCGGCGCTGACAGCCGAGCCTCCGCCTCCCGGCGCTTCTGCTCGACAGCTTTCTTCTTGGCCTCAGCTTCCAACTTAGCCTTCCGTTTGGCCTCCGCGTTGGCTTGTTTCCTCATCGAAGCTGCTCTCTCCTTCACGCTGCTCTGAATGTCTTGCGTGCTCCTCTTCACCGACCTCGTCAGGAGATCCCATTGAACTTTGACCAGGCCCCACTCCTCAACGACAGCGTCGATAGCCTCGAAGGACTGGCACAGGAGGAGCCCGTTGATCGTAGCCTCTGCACCCGAGACGGAGATGCAATTCTTGACGTCTTCCACTGGCTTCAGGGAGCCAAACGCAGACAGGGCTTCTTTAACCGCAATATCATTCTGCTCTCGACCCTCGGGGGTGTTTGGGTATTTCGGCTTCAAGTCTGGTGGCCCACCGTGCCCGAAGGGGAGCGCGTCGTACATGCCAAGCAATAGTAGGCTTAGATCTACGCGTTTTTTCAAGATCCCGATGAACTCTGCATCCAAGGTGCCATCAACTCCGCCGCTCTTGAGGCTGTCGATCGCCTGGGCGGATGCATTATGCAGAGCGTCTCTCTTGGCGACGAGCTCCCGGGTGCACTGGTTATGCTTCTTGGCTCGCGTACTCAGCGGATCCCCTTTCTTACCAGAGTCGAGCGGCAACTGAGTTGGCGTACCTGCACTGCTCGCAAAGCCGGCTGGTTCCTTCAGTGGCGTTGCCGCTGACGAAGCGGCCCCAGTGGGCGTCGATGGCGGAGGCGCCGCCGCTGACAAGGCTTGGCCAAGCAAATCATAACAAGGTGTGTCGCCAACGGACCCCGTGAATCTATCCACCCTGTCTTGCAAGTTCACGGCTTTGGCTGCGGACGCGTGGAAGCCGTCCTTGTCGGAGATGCTTCCAAGACCCTTCTGAAGCTCGATCTTCATCTTCTCGAACGACTCGTCCGACGCACTCTTCTGGCGCTTCGCGTGCAAAGAAAGCTCCTTCTCCTCCTCGAGGCCACTGCCGACGTCCTTGAACTCTCCGATCTTGATGTCGAGGCGCAACTCGTAGCCTTCTTCCTCGCCGAGCACGTCTGAGTTGTCCTTGGTTTTACGAGCGGCCAACTTATCCCACTCTTTCTCGGATCTGGTCACGTCCCAGTTTCTCGTTCTGTTGGAGTGAGTCGCGTACCTGATCAGAGCAGAGTCACGAAATCTCCAGGCTCCAGGCCCACGGGGACCTCAGGGCGGTCGTGCCCTGGACTCCTGGACTCCTGGATCCTGGACTGATGGACCTCGGACCTCGGACCTCAGGACTCGGGCTTCCAATATTCAAATTCCAGGGGCCTCTTCCTTCACCCTCCATCCTCTCTCCTGCTCGTCGTCGTTCTCTGACGGGGTACTCGATGAAGTCCATGCGCTGGACCCCCACGAAGTCGTTTGAGAAGTGTCTGGCTTTCCAACGCTGCTGAAACCCGATGTGGTCGAACGTTCCACGCTTCTTGCCAGGCTTGCTCTTCGGGTTCTTCCGCTCGTACTCCTTGATTTTTAAAGCGGCTGCGACGTCGTCCTTCATGGTCTCTTTGTGTGCTCTCCTCTCGTCATCGGTCGTGCAGCTGTTATGCATCGAGCGTTCGGTGTTGCAGTGGGCCGTGCAGAACCTCGTCTTGCTGTTCTTGCGGGGCTTGTCGCAACAAATGCACATCTTCTGCGATGTCTCTGGGGTTTCTTCAGGAACATGCTGTGGCTCTGGAGGTGGCTGCACCTCCGTGTCCAACTCTAGCCGGAACTCGTCCGTCTCCCCAGAGGTGGCCATGGCGGTGGGATCGGCGATCGGCGCAGCTATGTCGTTCAGGCCCAGCCCCAGCTGGGGGCCCCAGTGCCCCAGCTCTGATCTCTAAAACTGCTGAGGTCTGAGGTCTGAGGCTCTGAGGTGAGGTACGAATCCAAAACCGAGCTTTCGAATGTGTCCCCCTCCAAATCCTCTACGCATCAACGTGGCCCGACGGAGCAAAATTGGCGTCTCGACGCCGAGCGAGCAAGCACTGACGCGCCGCGGCGGGATATTGCCAAACCCTAGGACCCCAAGCTGGACCCGAAGGTCCAGAGGGGGCAGAAGGGAAGGGCAACATCCATGGGCAACCGTCCATGCAAACTGCAAACATATGCAATCCAGCTCCGCGCCTCTCCCCTCCTCCTCCTCCTCCTCCTCCTCCTCCTCGTCATCATCATCATCAAAAATCATCATCAGCAGCAGCAGCAGCATCATCATCATCATCATCATCATCATCATCATCGTCATCATCATCGCTGTCTTCCCCCTCGTGCCTCATCCTCCTCTCCCCCTCGTCTTCACCATTGCTACGATATGCGATGAACATTGTGGCACATGGAGGGGGAAATCAAGATGGGGTGAACGGTGAGCTCCTGGACTCTAGAGCCGCGAACGAGTGGGGACAGAGAGAGATTCCCCCGCGTTTGTGCCAGGCACTCTGTACTCTGGACTTCCCCCCCCTCCTCCTCCTCGTCCTCCTCCTCTCCTCCTCCTCTCCTCCTCCTCCATCCCCCTTCTTCCTCCTTCGAGACCGCGCCCAGGAGGCCTCCCAGAGGCATCTGACCACAGTCCAGTCCAGGTGGCAGAATGGGCCGAAGGCTGAGGCCATAAACCAAAGGCACGCGCAAGTGCGGATGCGATAAAACAAATGTAGAACGTGCATGTGTTTAATGGCCTTCAACGCGCCTGTCCCCCCTCCCCCTCCTGCTCCCCCTCCTTAGTTATACAACGTGATCAAGACCCAAGTGGCAGAGCCCACGCGCGGCTCTTCTCGCCTCCGCCCACCGTCCACCACCTACCACCTGTTCACTTCGGCACACCCCTCGCACAGAACGCGGAACGAAGCCTCATAGAGAGCCCTCCTGAGTCTCACTCTACACGCCCCACGGCTCATCCGGACTTCCCTCTATGTCGGCACGCCCCCACGAGGCGACGAGGGCGCCCATTCAAATCTTCCTCCAGGACTCCAGGACTCCAGGATATTTGTGTTTTGCCCGCAGCCCCAAGCTTCTGTCTTGGAAGTAGCTGCATGGCTGACTTGAAACCTCTCACTCACTTCTCGGCCACAGTGCGCGGGACCTTGCAGGGCGGCGGCGACGCGTCGTTCGGCTGCTCCTCATCCGCGCAGCACTCCGGGTCCGGGCCCGGGTCTGGGAGGCTGTCCTTTCCGGATCGTTCTCTCGCCCCGGACCATCCAGAACGAGAGAACTATCCAAATCTGATGAGGAGAAGGAAGAGGAGGACAAGAGGAAGAGGAGTGAGCGAGGGAGGAAGAGGATGAGGAGGAGGAGGAGAAGGAGGAAAGAGAAGAAAGAGGAGGAGGAGGAGGAGGAGGAGGGAGGAGGAAAAGGAGGAGGAGGAGGAGGAGGAGGAGCGAGGAGGGGCAAGGCGATGCGACTACCTCACGTGGCCCAAGGCCCAAGGTTGCTTCAAGATGGCTTCCGACAAGCCGTGACCAGATCGAGGAGGAGGAGCAGGAGGAGGATGGGGAGGGAAGAGCGAGGAACGATGAGGAGGATGCGAGGATGCTGATGAAAGCGAGGAGGAGCGAGGAGAAAGGAGAAGGATAATGATGACGATGAGGGGGGCAGAAGGAAGAGGGGAGCGAGGAGCGAGGAGCGAATAACGAGGTGGGATGAGGAGGGAGAGGGACGAAGAGAAGAAGGAAAGGGGATGAGGATGAGGCGGAGGATAAGGAGGAGGAAGGAGGAACAGGAAGAAACGATGAGAAAGAGGAGGAGGATACGCTAATGCGCTAATGCAGTAGCAGTAGCAGTAGCAGCAGTAGGCAGCAGCAGCAGCAGCAGCAGCAGCAGCAGTAGTAGTAGTAGTAGTAGTAGTAGTAGTAGTAGTAGTAGTCGTAGTAGTAGTAGTAGTAGCAGCAGTCGTAGTAGCAGTAGTAATAGTAGTAGTAGTAGTAGTAGTAGCAGCAGTAATAGTAGTAGTGTAATGAGTAGTTTGATTAGTAATAGTAGTAGTAGGATCAGTAGTAGTAGCAGTCGTAGTGGTAGTGCTGGCGATCGTAACCATACTATCAGTAATCGTAGTAGTAAGAAACGTAGAAGTAGCACGATTA